ACAAATGTCCTTTCTAAGAGCAGGCAGTGTTATTTCTTCCTATTTGTTACTTCTTCACAAAATATTGTAACATCTTCATAAAGTTTCATTTTTTTTCTTCACCAGTTTTTTTCATTAATTAAGAAAAAAAGGCTTTGAAGCCAAGTGTAGTGGGTCACACTTGCAATTCTAGCTACTTACAAGTCTGAGGCAGGCAGATTACACGTTTGGGGCCAGCCTATACTATATGGAGAGCAAAACAGACAGACAACTCTAGATTTTAAAGTAGTGCATCACTCTGAAAGCAGCTCTCCTACAGGAACTGAAGGGCAGGGTGACTTCACAGAAGACCTCGTTAGTAAGTGGATTGGAGTTGTGCATATGCACACTGGACTCCTGTCAGCATTTGGAGGTCCTTTATTGGTTGTGCTTGGTGAAAGCAGGGACAGACCATTTTGCGGGAGAACCAAGGCACCGAGTCAGGAAACTCGCTCCAGGACTCATGCAGACACTTGCATCATTTGTAGGGCTGCTGAGATCCCATTTCCTGTCTCACCTTTGCTCTCGTGACAGTTTGCTTTCCTTCTATCTAAAAATAATCTGGCATCTCCAAATTGCAGATACGAGCAAAATTATTCTTCTAGAACCTCCAGTCCAGTGGAAGCCTGGGGGCCGCTGGTCACAGGGATGAATTTCACCTGTGCAATACAGGCTTGTAGGAGGTAAGATTCGGACCTAAGTGTGTTTTTAATCATCAGTTTCCAGGAGTGATCCCTGAGGTGTGGAAGGCTCTGTTCTACCCTTGGGAGATTTCACCTGGCTCTGAGCGCTCAGGCAAGGAGACAAAGCAACTACAGGAGAGGCTGCCTCGCTGGGCTGCAGCTGAGCACCCGGCTGTATTCTCCAGCGAGTGCTTATTTCCTAAATGCGGTGGTGGCAGAGACAACACTGCCCTGCACACTGAAAGGGTTGATGCTTCTTGAGAGGCTCAGTTCTGGACAGTTCTAGCCTCCTCCCACACGGGGACACCACAGGACACTAGCACACAGGACAGGACAGGTGATATCTGCCTCCCTGCCTCCGGGGCCTAGAGCAATGTGGTACCCAGTGCCAGCATGACAGGTGTGTGTGTGTACATGCACCTGCTTGCCATAGCACTTGTAAAACCAAATACAACTTTAAGGGGGGGTGGTAGCTCCAGGGAAGGGTCAGGCCTGTCACTGAAGAGTACAGTAAAGAACCCGGTGGCTGCCAGCTCCTACATGGCACCAGTGTGTAACCAAGAGCACAGCCAAGAAATGGCACCAACTCTGAGGGCCAGAACCTGGGCACCCAGTACCTGCCCATTAGGGGTTCTCTGTGTTTATGTGCATCTTTGTTGCCTTAAATTTAGAACCTGGAAATTTAACCAGGATTCTCCTTGAGTAAAACATAAAGGCAATTTCAGACCTTACTGTAACTAATCTCTGGAGATGACATGTGAACACAATTAAAAGGGGTACTGTACTCTCTGAGGAAAAAAATCTTACATCCATTGAAAGAGGCTGAAAGTACCTTTGAAGATGACACTGAAAGGAACACGGTTACTTCCATAGGATGACTGCCCGGGCACCTGTGTCATACATGCAAATAATGCAGATGTACGTATTGCCTAATCCCCAAAGTTTGCAAAGCTGAATCAAAAATCTCCAGGATTATTAACATTCCCAGTGACTGCAAACCCTTCTCCAGCTCATGGTGATGGTGTTGATAAACCCGGCCTGGAAGGTGGGACCTCAATTGCTTTCTAGCCCAAACCTGTCTCCTTGCCTGAAAGGACAGGGTGGCTAATTTCCCTTGTAATGCAAGCTTTTCTTTTTAAACTGTGACCTTTTTACCTTGCTCCATTTAGTCAGTTACTAATTGCACAGCCCCCAAAACGTGAGCGCGGGCTTCTTAAAGCCTGTACAGTGTTTTGCCTTTGGGTTTCCTTTCCCTTCGGGATGGAGGGAGGGACCCGGTAGCTGCGAGGACCCAGGGAGGCGGGCTGGCGAGGCGGCTCTCCCGCCTCTCAG